TGAAAAAATGCTCATCATCACTGGTCATTAGAGAAATACAAATCAAAACCACACTGAGATACCATCTCACACCAGTTAGAATGGTGATCATTAAAAAATCTGTAGACAACAGATGTTGGAGAGGATGTGGAGAAATAGGAACACTTTTACACTGTTGGTGGGAGTGTAAATTAGTTCAACCACTGTGGAAGACAGTGTGGCGATTCCTCAAGGACCTGGACCTAGAAATAGAAATTCCATTTGACCCAGCAATCCCATTACTGGGTATATATCCAAAGGATTATAAATCATTCTATCATAAAGACATGCACACATATGTTAACTGTGGCACTGTTTGCAATAGCAAAGACTCGGAACCAACCCAAATGCCCATCGATGACAGACTGGACAAGGAAAATGTGGCAAATATACACCATGGAATACTATGCAGCCATGAAAAATGATGAGTTTGTGTCCTCTGTAGGGGCATAGATGAATCTGGAAACCATCATTCTCAGCAAACTGTCACAAGACGAGAAAATCAAACACATCGTGTTCTCACTCATAGGTGGGTGTTGAACAATGAGAACACATGGACACAGGGAGGGGGGCATCACACAGAGCTCTGTTGGGGGGCAATAGGGGATGGACAGTGGGGGGTAGGGAGGTTGGGGAGGGATAACATAGGAAGAACTGTCAGATATAGGTGATGGGGGGATGGAGGCAGCAAACCGCATTGCCATGTAGTACCTATGCAACAATCCTGCATGTTAGGCACATGTACCCCAGAACCTAAAGTGCAATATATATATACTTTTCTATATATATATATATATATATATATATATATATATATATCATGTATATCACTTTCCACAGTAATTTTCTAAAAAGTATTCTGTAAAAACCTAAAAAGTTGCACACACATTTAAAAAATACTTTCTAAACAGTAATTCCAAGTGTCCATGGTACCTAACCAAAAAAAAAAAAATGATTAGTGACATAACAACGATCTTGGTACATTATGTCAGGTATTTTGTGAACTTACTGAATCTATAATAACTCTTGGAGCAAGGTTCGTTTACTCCATTTTTGAAAAGAAGAAAACTACAGTTTTAAAAAGATGAATAAACCTGCCTGATACTACCAACCTAGTTTTGAATTTATACTCCTGCCATCTATTTTCAAAGCTTTTGTTTGATGTTTTCTACTGTGTTGCCACAAATACACCAGAAACACTTATCTTGGATATTGCCAGGAAAATAACTGAAGAAATTTATTGTCTTTGTGAGATCTGGGTCAGAACCTATTCAAATCTCCTTACTGTTAGAATTTTTGTAACAGCAGATTACTCTTTTCAGTGATTCTAGATGATCAAAGCTAGTGAGGGCTGTAGGGTCCAGCCCTACAGGGTCCTGTGAGCCGCTCTCTACTGGTGCAGAGAGGAGAAACTGTGGAAATAAAGACACAAGACACCAAGATCAAGAGAAAAAGAGTCTGAGCCCTGGGGTCCACTGCCAACCAAAGCACGGAGTCAGGCAGTGACCCCGAGTGCCTGGACACTCTGACTTTTATTGAGTACAAGACAGGGGGAAGGGTGACTCTTCCCCAGTCACGTGTCTAAGGAAGGAGGTGGGGGGCTTGTGGTCAAGGCTTTCAAGTAGCCGCTAAGGAACAAGTAGTGAAAGCAGGGGAAAGAAATGCGTTAGCACTTTATGTTCTTCTTGTCAAAGTCTTCAAGAATTATGCTGCTTTTTACTGACAAAAGAGGAACCAGATGCAGAAGTAGGGAGTGAAAGGAGACACAGGTTGTGACCAATATACCACACAGAGACAATTAAGCCCCAGGTAACTGTGGGTTGGGCTGAGTGATATCAGTCCTTAAACAACAGCGTTCTGGGAGTGAAGTGTTCTCCAACTCCTCCGAGGAAGAAGATGTCTCCTTCCATGATTTGCTAAGCAGCAGGTGCTTTCCCAGCACTGGCGCTACAGCAGAACCCAAGGTGCCTTGTAGCAGCCCTTACACAGGTGTGACAGAGGGTTAATGATCTTGTCTAGAGTCACTTTTTACAATGTTCTTTCAGTTCCAAGCTTCTTATCCTAAAGTTCCTTAATTATAAAAAAGAATATATTAAAGATAAATGATTTCACTAGGCTAAATATTTGGTTATAATGTTTAACTCTATTCTAAATCTTTTCTATGCTATTTTTTAAATTGGGACTGGCTAGGGCCTCAGTCCCTTGCTTTGCTTTGGCACTTGTGCGACCTCCCACCCAAGAGGGCAAAGAATACAAATCTCTCCTCATAATTTTGATTTTCCCAGATAAGGTCCTCAATAGTTGCACAATTACGCCATTTCTATGCTTCTTAATTTTAAATGACAAATAAAAATTGCATGTATTTATGGTACATAACATGATATTTTGATAGATGTATTAGTCCATTTTCATACTGCTATGAAGAAATACCTGAGACCGGGTAATTTATAAAGAATTAAAAATGCATGTATTTATGGTACATAACATGATGTTTTGATAGATGTATTAGTCCATTTTCATACTGCTATGAAGAAATACCTGAGACCGGGTAATTTATAAAGAAAAGCAGATTTAATGAATTAACAGTTCCACATAACTGGGGAGGCCTCACAATTATGGCGGATGTCCAAGGAGGAACAAGATTTGCCAGGTACAGTGGTTCACGCCTATAATCCCAGCACTTTGGGAGGCCAAGGTGGGTGGATCACCTGAGGTCATGAGTTCAAGACCACCCTGACTATCATGAAGAAACCCTATCTCTATTTAAAATACAAAATTAGCTGGGTGTGGTGGCACATGCCTGTAGTCCCAGCTACTTGGGAGGCTGAGGCAGGAAGAATGGCTTGAATCCAGGAGGCGGAGGTTGCAGTGAGCCAAGATCATGCCATTGCACTCCAGCCTGGGCAACAAGAGCAAAACTCTACCACAAAAAAAAAAAAAAAAAAAAAAAAAAAAAAAAAAAAAAAAAAAAAAAAAAAAGGAGCAAGATGAGATTTGGGTGGGGACACAGCCAAACCCTATCATTCTGCCTCAGCCCCTTCCAAATCTCATGTCCTCACATTTTAAAACCAATCATGCCTTCCGAACAATCCCCCAAAGTCTTAACTCATTTCAGCATTAACTCAAAAGTCCATAGTCCAAAGTTTCATCTGAGACAAGGCAAGCCCCTTCTGCCTATGAGCCTGCAAAACCAAAAGCAAGTTAGTTACTTCCTAGATACAAAGGGGGTACATGCACTGGGTAAATACACCCATTCCAAATGGAAGAAATTGGCTAAAACAAAGGGCTACAGGCTCCATGCAAGTATGAATCCAATAGGTTAGTCAATAAACCTGAAGTTCTAAAATGAGGTCCTTTGACTCCATGTCTCAAAACCAGGTCACACTGATACAAGAGGTGGGCTCCCATGGCCTTGGGCAGCTCTGCCCCTGCGGCTTTGCAGGGTACAGGCTCCCTCCCAGCTGCTTTTACAAGCTGGTATTGAGTGTCTGTGGATTTTCTAGGTGCATGGTTGAATATGTTGATGGAGCTACCATTCTGGGGTCCAGAGGACAGTGGCCCTCTTCTCACAGCTCCACTAGGGAGTGCTCCAATGGATAATTTGTGTGGGGGCTCCAACCCCACATTTCCCTTTTGCACTGTCCTAGCAGAGCTTCTCCATGAGGGCTCCAGCCCTGCAGCAAACTTCTACCTGGACATCCAGGAGTTTCCATACATCTGAAATCTGAGTGGAAGTTCCCAAACCTTCATTCTTGACTTCTGTGCACCTGCAGGCTCAACAATATGTGAAAGCTGCCGAAGCTTGGGGTTTTCACCCTCTGAAGCCATGGCCCAAGCTGTACTTTGGCTCCTTTTAGCTATGGCTGGAGCAGGTGTGATGCAGGGCACCAAGTCTCTAGGCTGCACACAGCAGGAGGGTCCTGAGCCTGACCCAGGAAACCATTTTTCCTCCTAGGTCTCCAGTCCTGTGATGGGAGGGGCTGCTAGGAATGTCTCTGACATGCCCTGGAGATATTTTCCCCATTGTCTTGGCAATTAACATTTGGCTACTTGTTACTTAAGCAACTTTCTGTAGCAGGCCTTAATTTCTCCTCAGAAAATAGGTTTTTCTTTTCTATTGCATTGTCAGGCTACAAATTTTCCACACTTTTATGCTCTATTTCCTCTTGAATCCTTTGCCTACTTAGAAATTTCCTCCACCAGATACCCTAACTCATCTCTCTGAGGTTCAAAGTACCACAGATCTCTAGAGCAGAAGCAAAATGCCAGCACTCTCTTTGCTAAAGCATAACAAGAGTCACCTTTGCTCCAGTTCCCAACAAGTTCTTCATCTCCATCTGAGACCACCTCAGCCTGGACTTTATTGACTACATCATTATACAGCATTTTGGTCAAAGCCATTCAACAAGTCTTTAGGAAATTCCAAACTTTCTTACACTTTCCTATTTTCTTCTAAGCTCTCCAAACTGTTCCAACCTCTGCTCGTTACCTAGTTCCAAAGTCACTTCCACATTTTCAGGTATTCTACCAGCGCCCCACAACCTGTCACCAAGTTACTGTATTAGTCCATTTTCATACTCCTATGAAGAAATACCTGAGACTTGGTAATTTATAAAGAAAAGGAGGTTTAATGGACCCACAGTTACACATGGCTGGGAGGCCTCACAATCATGGTGGGCAGTGAAGGAGGAGCAAAGGAACATGTTACAAGGCAGCAGGCAAGAGAGAGTGTGCAAGGAAACTGCCCTTTTAATGAAACCACCAGTTCTCATGAAACTTACTCATTATCACAGAACAGCATGTGAAAAACACACTCCCATGATTCAACTGCCTCCCACCAGGTCCCTCATATGACATGTAGGGATTATGGGAGCTACAATTTAAGATTTGGATGGGTACATATCCAAACCATATCATGCATACATTGTGGAATGGCTAAGGAAAGCTAATTATACATAAAAGACCCACATATCCCTTTCACCTTACTGGTTAATGGCTTTCCTACTCAGCAAATATTTCATAGCAGCTTTTACATCTTTATTTCTCAAGCTATAGATTATGGGATTTAACATGGGGGTCACAACACCATAAAACATGGAAACAAGCCCCTCTGTAGCTTGCAAGTTGTCTTTCCCAAGGAGGTCTTGGGACTTAGGATTTGCATACATAAAGAAGATGGTACCGTAAAATATGATCACCACAGTCAGGTGAGCTGAACAGGTAGAAAATGCCTTGTGTCTTCCTGTGGCTGACTTCATTCCCAAGATGGTATAGAGGATAAACATATAGGAGAAAATAATGACCAACAGAGGAAGAACTAGGAAAGCAATATTTGACACTGCTAGGGTAACAATATTGAGGGATATATCAGCACAAGCTAGCTTGAGGACAGCTAAGATCTCACATAAGAAATGATTAATAATATTGTTCCCACAGAAAGGCAATTGCATGGCAAGTGATGTTTGCACGATTGAATTGATTCCACCAGAGAGCCATGATATAGAAGCCATCAGTACATATGCCACTTTGCTCATGACGATTGGGTATCTCAGCGGGTTACAGATGGCCACATAACGATCAAATGCCATCATGCCAAGAAGCAAACATTCTGTTGACCCCATTGCAAACCCAAAGAACATCTGCACTGCACATCCAGAAAAGGAAATGTTTCTTTTCTTTGAGATTAAGCTCACCAATGTTGAGGGAATGGAGGAGGATGTATAGCAGATATCCAGGAAAGAGAGGTTTCCCAGAAAGAAGTACATGGGTGTGTGAAGACGAGAATCAAAGATGCTTGCTATGATGAGAACACCGTTGCCAATGAGAATTACTACATACATAACTAGAATCAGAGCAAAGAAAATGATCTCAAGTTTGGGGTAACCAGAGAGTCCCAGAAGAATGAATTCTCTCACAAATGTTTGGTTTCTCTTGTCCATGTCCCAGCTTTCAGGATGTCAAAGTTAGACTCAATACATAATATTTCACAACCAAGCAACAAATGTAACAAATAACTTGAATAAACATTACTCTAGAATGAAAAAGAAACTGTTTGTTTTAAAGCTCTACCATTCGGTTATCTTCAATAGTATTTGTGCCTAGAATACAATCACACTAGGATGCTAAGAGTTTCTATGCCCTGTATCTGATATGTGAAGATCTACATAGGATCAGAAGTAAGTTCAGACACAACTTGTCTTATTATTGAGGACATTGAGTTGAGTTTTCTAAAAGCCTTATACTATTGCAGATGACAAACCTAACTTCTTCAGTTAGTCAAGCCCAGTGAGAGAGCTCCAAAGAAGGAAAAAGACAAGTAAAGCAAAACTGGAATTTTGACCCAGTGTTTAATAAAAATGTTTAGAATTTAAAAGCAGGTTTGATGTTCATGTACATTTGTTTGTTTGCCTAAAACTCTGAATGTCCTTCCAGTCAGTTAAATGTGTATTTTTATAGGGAAGACATTTGATAATAGTAAATTAAACCCCATATACTGTGATTTAACATCTTTTCAAAGGTTAAGTTAGTTGATCTCATTCTAACATCCCACTCTTACTATTTTGTTATTTCCTATTACAAGACCACTGTGTAAATCAGCTCTGCAGGTATACGATGGAGAATCTTTGGAGAACAATACATGATCTCTATTTGTTTTAGTCCATGGCTTCAGAGTTACTCCTGAGAATTTGTTTGTTTGAGTAAACCTGAAAAAAGAGTAGTAACGTCAAACACATTTGTGTGTATGTGTGGGTATAGCACTTTACAAAAATCAAATGAATCTTCTCATTATCCCTAATTTATTTTTCTCAAATGGAAAAGACAGAATGTGGCCTATAAGTAAAAAGAGAACCTTAATGCTCAGCTCTTTTGATTACAACACCAAAAGTTATTTTACCTTGTTTTCACAAAGTACTATCCAAAATTTTTAGCTTTGATGGAATTTCAATTTTTCTAATTTCATATGCATATAAATCACCTGAGGATACTGTTAACTTGTAAATTTTATGTTAGCACTTCTGGGATAAGGCCTGTGATTCTTCATTTCTATTAAGTTTCCAGGTTATGTTGAACCACTGGGAAGACGCACATTTTGAGTAGCAAGACACTGGTTTATCTATAGTGAGTTAGTAAAGAATCCAGATATTTCTGATCCAAATAGATTTTCTTTTGTGTTATAATATGGACTGGCTAAGCAACCTGGAAAATGACCGAGAGTCTAATTCTTTTGTGTTTGCCAGAAAACTTCAGGGCCACATCTCACTGTTCAGTACACTTCAAAAAATAAACACTATTGAAACATTTTATGAAAGCAGGATGAACTTTTGCTGGACTACTATAATATGTGTATGATATTACTGATTGCCTAACTTAAGAACGGTCCTATTCCAACACAAGTAAGGGTGGGAAAAGTATGACACAGCATGTCTGCCATCAATAAGTTCATAATTCAATAACACAAATACATATAGAACAATTTGATAAAGAATATAATTGTATCATGTGGCCAGGGTAAATATTATAAGTAACTTCAGGAGGAGGAGGTAAATAAGAAATAAGTAAGTCAAGAGAGAACGCTGAAAGAATTTCAAACTTATACCAGATCTGGAAGCACAGAAGCAATGGGGTAGGTTTGGAAGAGAAGAGAGAAACAAAGGTATTTCAGAAGGGAGGGCAGCTTAATTTTTTAGAGGAGCAGATTGGTAGTACCTACGTTTCAGACAGGGGAGTTTCAGTGGAAACACTGAAAAATTAATGAGGCAGGAATATAGAAGGGCCCAAAGGTTAGGAAGAAAAGCAATTACATTCCCTTTTGTATGTAAGGGAACTATTATCAGAACAGCAGGGGCAAAGCGACTGTTTAGCCCCTGTGACTTTAGCTACCTTTCAAACCTGACATTATATAATTTGATTTTATGAGGTTTTGAATAGATATGTGACACAAGGAATTAAGATACTTAGATTAATTAGGTAAATATAAATTACTGCCTGGTATACACACACACACACACACACACACACACACCATCATCATCATCATCATCATCATCATCTTTTCATAACTACCATTTTTTTAGATTAAACAAAATGGCAGGTTTAGGGCTCACATGGGCTAACAGTTCTGAGAATATCTGCAGAGGTTCAACCCCTACTCTAACACTCAGTTTGGTATGTGATGATAAGTGAAAAAATTTCTCTACAGAATACAATGTCTTGGAGTCAGAAGCCAAACCAGACAGGATTCTCACTTTGGAAACAGTTTAAAGAATACCAGTAGAACATCTGAACTTTTAAGAGAAGCACAAATGAATGTTGAATCCCCAAATTAGAGATGAGAAAATTGAGCCTCAAAGAAATTTTGAATTTATATTTACTCAGCTTAAGACTAGAAATACCTATTAAAAAGGATTTTTGTTTATTTAAGTGAAAAAAAATCACTTAAATGACTTCTGTCGCAGACTCCTATGTGCCAGATCCTGTGTTTGAATTGGCAAATCTGACAAAAACAAGCAATAAGGAAAGGGTTCCCTGTTTAATAAATGATGTTGGCAAAACGGGCTAGCCACCTGCAGAAAGCAGAAACTGAATCCCTTCCTGACACTTTACACTAAAATTAACTCCAGATGGATTAAAGACTTAAACATAAGACCTAACACCATAAAAACACTAGAAGAAAACCTAGGCAATACCATTCAGGACACAGGCACAGGCAAGGACTTCATGACTTAAACACCAAAAGCACTGGCAACAAAAGCCAAAATAGACAAATGAGACCTAATTAAATTCCAGAGCTTCTGTACAGCAGAAGAAACAATCATTAGAGTGAACTGGCAACCAACAGAATGGGGAAACATTCTTGTCATCTACCCATCTGACACAGGGCTAATATCCAGAACCTACAAAGAAATAAAACAGTTTATAAGAAAAAAACAAATCCATTCAAAAGTGGGTGAAGGATATGAACAGACACTTTTTAAAAGAAGACATTTATGAGGCCAACAAACATAGGAAAAAATGCTCATCATCACTGGTCATTAAAGAAATGCAAATCAAAACCACTTTGAGATACCATCTCATGCCAGTTAGAACCGCAATCATTAAAAAATCTGGAGACAACAGATGCTGGAGAGGATGTGGAGAAATACAAACACTTTTACACTGTTGGTGGGAGTGTAAATTAGTTCAACCATTGTGGCAGACAGTATGGCGATTCCTCAAGGACCTAGAAATAGAAATACCATTTGACCCAGCAATCCCATGACTGGGTATATATCCAAAGGATTATAAATCATTCTATTATAAGGACACATGCACATATATGTTCACTGTGGCACTGTTTGCAATAGCAAAGACCTGGAACCAACCCAAATGCCCATTGATGATAGACTGGAAAAGGAAAATGTGGCACATAAACACCATGGAATACTATGCAGCCATAAAAAACGATGAGTTCGTGTCCTTTGTGGGCACATGGATGAATCTGGAAACCATCATTCTCAGCAAATTGAAATAAAAACAGAAAATCAAACACTGCATGTTCTCACTCATAGGCAGTGTTGAACAATGAGAACACATGGACACAGGGAGGGGAGCATCACACACTGAGGTCTTTTGGAGGGCAATAGGGGAGGGACAGTGAGTGGGTAGGGAGGTTGGGGAGGGATAACATGGGGAGAAACACCAGATATAGGTGATGGGAGATGGAGGCAGCAAACCACATTGCCATGTATGTACCTATGCAACAATCCTGCATATTCTGTACATGTACCCCAGAACCTAAAGTGCAATAAAATATATATATTTTTAAAAATTAGCTTACCTGGCTGAGGTCAGATGACTATCACTGGCAAAAGAAAAATCCAAAGACCATTCTCCTTCTACTACTTCTCTGCCTAACAGGTAGTATTAAAATCTGTATAGAAATCATTTGTCAATCACAGAGAACAGTCAGTAAGTAACACAAATAATAAACTGAGTTCATAAAGGTGAAACTTAAGTATAGTCAGTTAAAAATGTACAAGGAGAATGATTAATTCTTGAGGACTTAGTACTTCTTATCATGGAGGAAGGTTCATGGTTGTGGGATTGAAACATCCGTCTTAGAACAGTCCATTTGCTTTAAAATTTTTCTACAGTACTTCTTAGCATAGGTCCAAATTCTCCTCAAGCAGGCTACAGAAATCCTTTCAGGATGCATTGGATAAGGGACATCAACACTCTAGCAGCCCAATCAGGAAAGCAAAAGGAGGAAGACAGAAAGATACTGACTGGCCAGGAAAGGGGGTGATGTTCCAGATCCCACCTAGACCGCCAGCCCAGGCGTGGAGAATCTGTTGGCTTTGCCTTCCAGACAAATGTAAAGACAATGAATTTTAGGCTACCTAGACAGTCTTCTGCTCTAAGCCTTCCCCTCCTAGGAAGAAATGCTCTCACCAATTCAATCCACCTTAAGCCAAGCCTGTCTTAGCTACCTTTGTTTTTCTTCTGATCCCAGCTCTTTAGCTTGGTTCCCTCATGTACTGTGAGATAACATGAGATGTGGGGAAGGAGCTTGCCTGTCTTGCACATCCCTCTACACCAATGGCCTAACACAGTGGCAGCACATAAAAGATGGGTTTTTCTAGGCTCTTAAGCAATTTCCCTGTGTAGTATTTACAGATTAATGTTCAGAACTTTAATATACACAATGTGTTTATTTGCAGCAAGTCTACTGTTTTTAATAAATAAATATATATATATATATATATATATATATATATATCTTTCTGTCAATACTAATAAGCTGCCATCTTATAGAAAGATTAACTGGTTCACGCACTGCAAGTATAAAGACATCACCTAATTCTCACTTGAACAGATATGGCATGAGGTTAGCCTAGTTGAAAAGTGCTGGGAATTCAGAAACAAAAGTCTTAGTTCTGAGGTTATTTTTTCATCTAATATGTAGCTTGTTTTTCATTTGCTAAATACTTACAGAAATACCTACCCTACTTTTCTCACAGGTTTGTTTTGAGAAAAAAAATTGAGCTAGCATATGGAAATTGCTTTATTGGATTAACCAGTACTATACAGATCATAATAATGATATTAAGATCATAGCCATATTTGGTAATACCACATTGATAGCTGTACTGCCTAGTGATATTTACACTATGAATCCATATCTAATAATAGCTTTAATTATAAATTTAAAAGTTATGGTTTCATGGCATTCAGGACTTACCTTTACAATGATAAATTATGCCCCGCTCCTAGAAGCACCAGGTACAATTTCCTAGTATTTATGTTTGCATTATGAATTAAACTCAGGTTCAACAAAAGATGCCAGATTCCATAGATGTGGAACAGTAAACGTTTGTTATGAAACAGTTACCGTAATTGTTCCCAGATTCCCAAAGCAATTTAAAGTTGGAGCGAGAGATCTGTGGAATGGAGAAACTTGTGATGCATTAGGGACAGTGCCCCACAGACCCAATTAAGAGGGGTGCTGGGAAAATAGACTGCGGCTGAACTAAAGCTCACAGATGAAATAACACTCTCCTGCCCACATAACTTCTAGGAGCAGGGGCAGATGTTCACCAAACAAACTTTATAAAACGTGAGAGCTTCCTAGTTTAAAATATATCTACCAAAATTAATTCAAAGTAAGAGCTTAATAATTCAAATAATGTTTACTAAAATGAAATGCTAGAACTGAAAAATGACCCAGATATTATGAATGAAATAAAATGGAGACTACCTATGAATTAAACGCATTGTTATTTAACTTTTTGCTTATTTATTTTTATTCTTTTGGAAAAATTAATTTTATGCAGCATGCCATTTTCAAGCTTTTCTGAAATGAAAAGAAACACAGATAAGCAATAAAATAAATAGATCCATGGGACAAAAGCAACTCTATATGTTTAAGGTTAGAAAAGTGAAAAACAAATCCAGAATGGATAGTTTGGGGCATTATTGGGAAGAAAGAACATCACTGAATTAAAGTGTCTTAGCAAAGTCTGTGAAGCTATATTTTAGATATTAACACTTAGATTCTGACTATAATTTTCTAATAGATGTCACATTTCATATACAATACTTGAATTCTGAGCAATTACAATTTACTCAAAAAGCAAAAACAGTATTTATGTATGCACATAGACATAAACACACACACATACAAACATAGCTCTCCCCCAACACACACACCACAAACCATGGTATGTGTACATTAAATACAAATAGATATATGTCACGGGTTTTCTAATATTAAGATCATAGAGATCTAGAGCTAGAAAACTCTGCAAAAATTATTTAGTAAGACTTCTCTTTCTATAGATGAATAAACTGAGGTAAAAGTGATGAAATACTGTTCCAAAGTCTCTGTTAGCACTTGGCCTAGAAAGAATTCAGAACAGTCACTCTTCGGAAGAACCAGATAATGACAATAATGATACCATATGAATTTTTACCAATTCTTAGACAATAGCTAATGAAATAGTATGAAAATATAGGCCTCATATGCCTGGAAGATAAAGGACTCCTACATAAAGTGAGTAGTAAGATATTTTATTAAACTGAAGAGATATTACTGGAGTGAAACTTATCTATATTTATTATAGAACTTCCCTTCTGAATTCAGAAAAGCACTAGAATCAACAAAGAGGAGGCTTTATTCTCTTTTTAGAAATGACCTCTAGGGGACATAAGATGAGGGGCCATAGAGGCATTCAAGCAATGCAACAAAGTATGAAAACATGTGCATCCCCTTGTCTCCCTCAAGAGCAGGAAATAGACATAAAAATTGATCCGCTTCTCAGCAGAAAACTCAGAGATGAATGGCAGATATAAGTTGCCTACTGAAAGGATCCAGGAGGAGCCAGAGCTGGCAAATGGATTATACTGGCCCATTATCTGGTTTCCAGGTGGATAACAGTGAATCTTGACTGAGACAGACACTTATTCTGGATTTAGGGTTGCATATGTCGCAAATAAAGCAAATACTACTTCCACCACTAGTATAGGCCAAGAGCAAATGTATTATCATAATTTGGATGTTGGTCATCTAATTAAAGAGCTCTAACATTTAACGTTGAGTAGCAAAGCATCATAAATAGATTTATATCCATTCCCATTCACAAAACACGGACAAATGAAAATTGAAATGAACAACTGAATCCTCTGCTTACAAAATTGGAGAGTAACAAGGACTAAAGGGATGTGTTTCACAACTGAATGAATATGTGTTAAGGCTTGCTATATATGACATTACAGGGAGATCACCATTGGATGTATTGTTGAGTTATTGTAGAAGATATGGAGAAGACAGTGGGAATGGTACAGGTACTCACAGACACTTCTCTATTTCTAACACTTTTTATTTGCCTGCTTCAGTGTTGGTGGGACATTCTTTGCATTTATGAGTTCCAGAAGATTATTTGCTGACCACAACACCATGACAATACATCTAAATATCACCACTTCCCATATTCCTAAGGAATGATAACATGGATCATTCTCTCTTTTCACCTTTTAAAGTGGAATTAATAGTTTCTGTCTTTTTTACCTGTTGGATGATGCAGGCCTATACGCTTGCAGTTATCCAACCCAACTCCAATATAACAGAATTGATAAAAGGGAATCCCTGACCATATTTACATTGCTGCCAACTTATGGGTCAGTTCTCTAGCTGAACCTGACAGTCTTACTCCAGGGAGGATAATCTAGATAAAATAAATTAAAAGTGAAGGAAAGGAGAAATACTTGTAGCTATGAAAGGAGCCTATGAGAAGCTCTTTGGCATACTCTAAAATGCATTCAGGTGTGACTGATACGGTATGACACTAACCTGGGAAGATCAACATTTGGGGTACAAAATATACACTCAAACTCTATTTAAGCAATAAGCAGTTAATGACAACATCGTATTTAGTGTATAATCCAACATTGATTGAATTGTTCTGAAAGACAGTTTCTCAACAGTGGCCTGGAAAGTGTGACTGAAGTTTTCAGAACTCTCCTTTGTGGACTGAAATTTCTTCCTCCTGCAGGACCATGTCCCATATCTCTGTTAAAGCCTCGTATGAGTACACATTCTGGAATCACATGTGTTCTGTGAAACAGCCAACCCCAGGTAAATGCTGCAATGTTTAATTTAAAAATCTGGCCTCTCTTGAAATTTATTTTTTTTATTTCTCTTTAACAGATGGGGTCTTGCTCTGTCACCTGGGCTGGAGTGCAGTGGCACAATCATAGCTCATTGCAGCCTTGGACTCCTGGGATCATGCAGTCCTTCCATCTCAGCCTCCCAAGTACCTGGGACCACAGTTGTGCACCATCATGCCTGGTTAATTTTTAATATTTTGTAGAGACATGGTCTCAATATGATAACCAGGCTTCTCTTGAAATTTAGAAAATCAGTTAATAAACATCCTGAATTATCTTATAGCAACAACCTACTGAAGTGAGAAATAATGTCTTTTATATGACTCATGTGCCCTTTTCATGGTTCACAGTCCTCACCAGCACTGTCTCATTCTTAATTGGAGGAAATCTTCATTCTTAACTTATATCACAATTTGTGTTCCTCGAAGTGCATTCTCATAGACTACAATATGAATGGAGGCCACTGGATTTGTGTCATTTAGGTATGTACACACACACACACACACACACACACACACACACACACAGATCTCCTGGATATAATTACATGATATACAACATAACATAATTATGTCCAGAATTTGCTTCAAAGTAATCTAAAGGAAGAAGCTAAGTGGGTGTGGATAATGATGAAAGAAGATTGATCATGTGTAATTATTTAAGCTGTAAATTAGGACGTTGAGTTTTATTAAATTGTTCTCATTCTTTTGTGAAATAATTAAAAATGAAGATTTTCCAAAAAAGTTCTAAAGAAAAAATATACATATCATATATACAAATGTGTGTGTGTATAAATAGAGATACATGCATGCATGTGTATGTATTTAAACAAAGCTGCAATCACATTGGGGGAAACATATAATGGTATTTAGGGTAGTAATATGATCTTTCTAATGGTAATTTAGCCAGAAACTTTAAAAGTTTATACCACCTGGCCTATTAATTTCATGTCTTAGAATTTATCCTGTGAAAACATGTGTTGGACACTGAAAAAAAATTAACTCCAAGTGCTCATAGTAGATCTAATAAATCAAAATAAAAACATGATGAATGTATGACTCCTACTTACTAAGACAAACATTAGAATGGTATCTTTGGGAGGTGGCCATGGTGTCAACAATTTTTCTAATTATTTTTGTTTAAGAATTTTAGAAAATATTGAATTTAAAAATTATAGAAAGTATTATATTAATGATATACTAATGAGGTGACTTTTAGTGAGAGATATCTGGCTCTAGTAATTATTAGTTGAGAGTAAAAGAAGGGATAAATAGCAACTTTTAGTCCTCACTATGGAGCCTTAGTTTCAATTCTAAAATTCTAGGACACTGTGAAGCCGATATTATGCTAGCTGCTTCCTCCAACTTATTGAAACTTTAAATGATACTGAGACCTGGATTTTTTTTATTATTTTATTTCCTTATTACAAGTATGATAACTATGGTTTAGAAAGAAAGAATAATCTCTCCAATATCACCCAGGTAGTTTATGGAACTGCAGATTTTGCACTACAGCCTCTCTATTTCCACAGCGTATAGTGCGAATGTTTTCCACTACGCTTCTCTGCAGAAACAGTCATTTCAGACATCACCGGGGATGAGGTTCTAAAAGAATTAATTATGTTTGTGAAATCTGTATCAGAGCATGTTGGAGTTTGTAGCAAACTACAGTTCTCAGTGATTCTAGCTGAACAGTGCTAGTGAAGGCAAAGGATAAACACCTGTCTCTCTAACCATGGTTTCTCCAAAAAAGGTTCTCATTGATTTACCCGAGTCCATCTTTGTGCTTGTTAAACAAAGACGTGTATTTCCTGGTTTTCTTAGTGAATTGGTTTGGGGTTCAACAGATATTTTACAGCAGCTTTTACATCCTTATTTCTCAAGCTATAGATTATAGGATTGAGCATGGGGGTCACTACCCCATAAAACAGAGAAATGAGCTTGTCTGATGCTTGCAATTTTCCTTCCCCAATCAGGTCTTGCGACTTCGGTTTTGCATACATAAAGAAGATGGTACCATAAAATATGATTACCACAGTCAGGTGAGCTGAGCAGGTAGAAAATGCCTTGTGTCTTCCTGTGGCTGAGTTCATTTTCAAGATAGTGTAGAGGATGAGCATATAGGAGAAAAAAATGACCATCAGTGGAAGAACCAGGAAGGCCATATTTGATATCACCATGGTGATAATATTGAGGGATATATCAGCACAAGCTAGCTTGAGGACAGCTAATATTTCACATGTGAAATGATTGATAATATTATTCCCACAGAAAGGCAGTCTCATGGCAAGTGATGTTTGCACAACTGAATTGATTCCACCAGAGAGCCAGGACACAGAAGCCATCAGTACATATGCCACTTTGCTCATGACGATAGGGTATCTCAGCGGGTTACAGATGGCCACATAACGATCAAATGCCATCATGCCAAGAAGCAAACATTCTGTTGATCCCATTGCAAACCCAAAGAACATCTGCACTGCACATCCAGAGAAGGAAATATTTCTTTTCTTTGAGATTAAGCTCACCAATGTTGAGGGAACAGAGGAGGATGTATAGCAGATATCCAGGAAAGAGAGGTTGCCCAGGAAGAAGTACATGGGAGTGTGAAGACGAGAATCAAAGATGCTTGCTATGATCAGAACACCATTGCCAATGAGAATCACTAGGTACATTACTAGAATCAGAGCAAAGTAAACAATCTCAATCTTTGGGTATCCAGAGAGACCCTGAAGAATAAATTCTGATACAAGTGTCTGATTAATCTCATCAATGTCATTCACTTTCAGGAAATCAAAAGAAGATCTAACAGAAAATATATTTACTGCCAAGAAACAAACAGTACAAATTACCTGAACAATCATTCTTTTAGCACATACTAGAAGAAGTGCTTGCTTGAAGTTCTGACATCCAGTTATCTTCAATAATGTGTGTGACTAGAATACAATTACTTTGGGAATGATGGAAATACCTATACCCCATCACTAACTTGTGAAAAATCTACCTATGACCAGACACACATGAAGAAGTAATCTTTCCTGCTGTTGAGGACATGTTCCTGAATGTAGGACACTCTCCTGAGCTGAGGTGGCTAAAACCCCTGGCCAATCAACAGCTCTAAGCCTACCATCTTCATTTCATCAACCCCAGCAAACAAGCAGTAAAGAGGCAAAGGACTACTCAACAAAGACTGAAATTTTAATTCAGCGATTATTAAAGTGGTTAAAATTTCACAGCAACTTTGATATTTTTGTGTGTTTATATTTTTTCTAAGCCTGATACTATAGTTTAATTGTGTATTTTATAGACATTTAATAATACATTGAATCATGTATCCTGAAATTTGACAACTGTTTAAAGGCATACTTAGTTGTTGATCTCATAGTATCTTATATGACTGTTCCTATGACAAGATCATTGCACAGGCCAGCTCTGCATGAATGTGATAGTCTTTGGAGAACACTGTATAGTCTCTTCACATATTTTACTCTGTAGCTGTAGCTCAAGAGTCTGTCTTAATAACTTACTCATTTAAGACAACAAATAAAAACAGTAACAATGTTTAAATACTTCATATAAATATGTATATATGTACATATATACCCCGCTTTATGATTTATAAATTATAATATTCTTTACATTAACCCCATTTTTCAACTACAGAATATAGAACTTGTCCAAGATTAGTTAGCTAGTAAACAGTAAAATGGAATGTAAAACTAATATTTTTTTACACCAATTCTAGTTAGTTCATGCCTTCGGTAATTTTCATATACATGTAAAGCATCTGGGAATCTTAAAAATCTTCAGATTCTCTCTTAGTGTTCAGGGAAAGTCCTGAGATTCTGCATTTCTTGCAAGTGCCCAGGTGACGCTTATGCCACTGGTCCCAAAAGCACTTGAATAGCAAGGCTTAGACTATAATGAGTTGGTCAATGATCTAGATGTTTCTAATTCAAACTAATTTTATTTTGCCTTATCATGTAGATTGCCAATAAGAACCTGGAAAATTTCAAGAGCATAATTCTTTGATGTTTTACAGAAACTGCAGATTGACGTCATATTGTTAAATACTCTTAAAAAAATGTTATTGAAACACATTTTTTTAAAAAAACAGCATTTTAAAAGTATCGGTCATTACAAAGTTCACAATTTAGGTAGGGATATAAGAAAAGAATATATGAAAATATGTTACAGGCACTTTCTATAGTTTAAGTGAAAATTACAGTTTTTCCCAGAAGGAAGAATTTTTTGATAAATAAATTAGGCAAAGAAGAACTCTGGTGTTTCAGTCTTCAGCTGAACCTGGAAGTATGGAAAAGAATTAGACAGGGTTAAAAGAGAAAAGGGATAACTCATAGTGAGAAAGTGGGCCAAAGTTAGGAGTAAGCCAACTGGCAGCGCATAGGAGTTTCTGTGAGAGTGGTGGGGAGCACATCTGAGAAACAAAGTCTGACAGGTGCATAGAGAAAGGCTCTAAAATCAGGCAGAAAAACTGGCATTTCTTCTGGTGAAAAAGAGGTCCATCATTAGAAAACGCAGAGCATGGGTAAGTGCCCAGCCCATTTGACTTTAGCAGTTCTCTAAATTTGACCTCATAATTCCCTGTAACTCAGAGAATTCAAGCATTTAGATAGTGGAGTTGTCACTAATTACAGACTAGGCATGAAAATTGATCTTTCCATAATCACGACTAGATTTGACAGTCAAAATCACAAGCTTAGGTCTGCATGGGCTGTCTTGAGAATTTTGGCACATCCACTCTTCCCCACACTGTCTGTTGGTCACATGACAGTCACTGGGAAATTTTGTGTAGAGCAGATATTATGAGTCAGAAATCCAACTCAACAGAATCTTCACTACAGGAAAAATTTAGTTAAGGATACACAATAGAAATATTTAAACTTTGAAGGAAAAGGTAAAGAAGAGAAAATACAATATCAGTCTTAAATATTAAAAAAAAAACTGAGCCCACAATAGATTGTTAACTTTTATTATCATTTAGCTTTAAGGAAGACAGACAGAGAGAAAGAAGGGGGGAAAGAGGGCAGGGAGGAAAGACAGAAGGGAAGATGGGAGAAAGAGAGGAAGGGTGGAAGGGAGAGAGAGAGAGGAAGGGAAATAAGAAAGGAAAAGGAAATAAAAGGAGGGAGGTAGGGAGGGAAGAAGGGAGGGAGGGGAGAAGGGAGGGAGGGAGGGAAGGAAGGAATGGAGGGAGGGAGGGAGAAAGGAAGGAAGAAAAGAAGGAAGGAAGGAAGGAAGGAAGGAAGGAAGGAAGGAAGGAAGGAAGGAAGGAAGGAAGGAAGTTAGTTTATGTACTGTAAGTATCACCTAATACTTATCTGAATATATATGACATCGTCATAGCATAGTGGAAAAGTGACAAACACTAGAATCAAAGTCTTTGGTTTGAAGTTCTTTGCAATTTACAGCCTCAGTCTTCTTATTTGTAAAATAGTGATTAAGATACCTGCATTACTTTACTTGTTGAATATTCTAAAATATATATATATGAAAATTGCCTTAAAGATTAATGAACATAATACAAGTAATAATTAAATAATACTAATAATTCACAGCTGTATTTTGGTGATAATAAATTGAAACCTATATTGCTTCTAAGTATTCAAATTAAAATGCATATTGAATAGTACCTTTACTTACAGACTGAGTTTAATTATAAGTTTCATATGATTCAGGACTTACTTTATAGTGATAAATTATGTCCACCTCCTAGAAGAACCAAGTACTTTTTACTAGTATTTATGTCAGCATTCTGAATTAAGGTCAGGTTCAACCAGATGCCAGATTCTACAGATGTAGAAGAGTAAATACTTGTTATGCAACAGTTATTGTAATTGTTCCCCAATTCCCAAAGCAATTTAAAGTTGGAGTGAGAGGTCTATGGAATGGAGAAACTTCTGGTGCATGAGGGACAGTGTCCCACAGACCCAGTTAAGAAGGTTGCTGGGAATAGATTGAGGGTGAACTAAATCTCACAAATGGAACAACGCTCTCCCTCCCATATAACTTTTAGAAATAGAGGTAGATGTTCACCAAACAAACTTTAAGAAATGTTGAGCGCTTCCTAGTTTAAAATATATCTATTGAAACAAACTTAATTCAAAGTAAGAGATTAATAATTCAAATGATGATTACTAAAATGTAATGCTAGAAGTAAAAAATGATCTAGATATTATAAATGAAATAAAATACATATTAGCTATGAATTAAGCACATTATGATTTAACTTTTTTGCTTACTTTACCTTAATTCTTTTGGATAAGTTAAATTCATACAGGATGTCTTCACTAAATTTTTTGAAATGAAAAGTAATACAGGCAAACAACAAGTAAATCCACAGGACAAAAGCAAATTCACAAGTTTTAAACCACAAAAGTAAAAAGTCCAAAATGAATAGTTTGGGTACGAATTTGGAAAGGCATATTATTGAATTAACATGTTTTAGCAAAGCCTATTAGGCTACATTGTAGATATTAACACTAAGATTCACTGTAAAATACTTGGGTTCTGAAAAATAACAGTTGGCTTAATAAGGCAGGAGAATAATTTATTCATATACATACCCCACAAAACATCGTTTAGATGCATTAAAATAAAAATGGAAACATGTCAGGGATGTATATTTAAAATCATGATATCTTAAAGCTGAAAAATTCTACAGAAGTCCTATAGTAAGATTTATCTTTTTATAGATTAGCAAACTGAGGTATGAAGTAATTAAATAATGTTTCAAAGTCACACAGTAGGAAATTATGTCACAATTACAAAAGTCTAACAGTCAAGATAATAAGTACAGGAACTCTCTGTACTATGTTTGCAAACTGTCTATAAACCTAAAATTATTCCAAAATAACATTATTTAAATAAATAGAAATTAAAATATATCTAGGATTCTTATTTTTTTAATTACAGTATCACAGAAGTTTTGAAACCAAAAACACCATAGAAGTCAGCTAAGATTCCATTTTCTAGAAGTAAATTGAGATATAGTAAGGAAATAGTGTTCAGTCACAAAACCGCTGTTAATATTTCAATTAGTAACAACTACAAAGTGTAATACTCTAAGTAACACATTTCCAAAATAAAGAAATGATAAATGTTTGAGATAATTAAGATGCTAAATACCCTCATCTGATCAATATACATTCTACGTAATGAAACATCATTATTACCCTACAAATATGTATAATTATTATTCATTGATTTTATTTTTTTTTTTTAGACCAACGCTCACTCTGTTCCCTGGCTGGAGTATAGTGGCATAATCTTGGCTCACTGCAACTTCCACTTTCCGGGTTCAAGTGATTCTCTTGCCTCAGCTTCCAGACTAGCTGGGACTACAGGCACCTGCCACCATGTCTGGGTAATTTTTGTATTTTTAGTAGAGACGGGGTCTTGCCATGTTGGCCAGGCTGGTCTTAAACTCCTGACCTTAAGTGATCCACCCACCTCAGCTTCCCAAAGTGCTGGGATTACAGGCATAAGCCACTGTGCCCAGCTGAAAAAATAGTAATTTTTTTTAAAAAAAGCAAACAAATGATCTTGCCACAATACTCTGCTATTTTACCACATCTGATTACACATTAAATAGAGGGTTGGCCGAGCACGGTGGCTCATGCCTGTAATCCCAGCACTCCAGGAGGCCGAAGCAGGTGGATCACCTGAGATGAGGAGTTCGAGACCAGCATGGCCCATATGGTGAAACCCGATCCCGATCTCTACTAAAAATACAAAAATTAGCCAGGCATGGTGGTGGGCGCTTGTAATCCTAGCTACTCAGGAGGCTGAGGTGGAAGAATCGGCCTTGATCCTGGGAGGTGGAGGTTGCAGTGAGCCATTGCATTCCACCCTGGGCAACAAGAGCAAAAGTCCTTCTCAAAAAAATATAAACATAAAGAGAGGCTGACAATCAAAAAAAGATACCCTTCTAAAAAATTTACTTTCATGTTTAATAATTATCAAAATTTGAAATATATTTATAATGTTTTCATAGATTATATACTAATAATAATTAAAATAATAGTTGGAATTTTCTAACACTTGACCATATGGTCATGGTAAATATATTTTTCTTTAAGTTAATTTATTCCAATTATTTTGTTGTTAAATATGATGATCAATTAAAGGCTTTTTAAATTTTAAGAAGTATTTTAAAACATTTTTTCTATGTAAAAACCTGGGTTTATTTATTA